GGGAGGGGAGGGGTGCTGGGGTTCGTTACCCATCAGGTATGTCACGGCCGGGTCCTGGCTGGCGCTGATCAGATCCTCTTTCTTCCACACATACTTGGCCCCCTGAGGAACCAACCCGTGAGCCCTCCCTGTGTGCCCTGAAAGCAGGCGCCTGCCTGGCCAGTGCACCCCTCGGGGCAAGGGGGCCCGTCAGCTACCCCCTAGCATGGCAGTGCACACAACCCCATTGACCCCCCATGCCCCCAGCCCAGCCTGGCACCCACCGGCCTGGCAGTCAGCCATTCAGCCACGAGGTCCTTGCCGTCCTTCCGTGTCCCGTTCTCCTTCGGGTACTCGGGGTCCGGCGTGTTAGAGGGAAACATGTACGTCCGCCCGCCCCCCAGGATCACCTGGCCACGAGAGGCACGGTCAGACGCCTGCACCTAGCCCCTGGCAGGAGGGAGTAGGGGGCCAAGTGCCCTGGTAAGGTGCTGGCACGGGCATCCCCTGCACCAGCCACCACAGCCGGGCTCCCTTGGCATGGCCCTCTCCTCTCCTGCCTCTCACCTGCAGGGGCGCTGAGGCAGACCCACGGGGCAGGTGTGAGGAGGGGGCGTGGGGCAAGGGGCGGCTGCCTCAGCCCCGGCACTCACATTGAAGTCCACGTGCTGGACGAGCTGCATGGCAATGTCCTTGCAGCCCTCGAGCTGGGCGCCCGGGGGCATGCTGGAGTCCGCGTACCAGTTCCGGTTGACGACGTGGGCATAGGTGCCGGCAGGCGACGCGTGCTGCACCCGCGTCGTGGTCACGATCCCCACCGACTTCCCTGCCACGGGGACCAGAGCCTGGGCATTCACCCTTGCAACCACGGGGACCCACCTCCCGGGCTCCTACCCCAGCCGCCACTCGAACCCAGACCCGGAGGCATCTGCTGCCACGGGGGAGCCAGAAGGGCTGTTCCCGAACCAGGCACCATGCCTGAGCTGGGAATTTCCCCCTGGGTGCGGGCTGGCCCATGCATGATCCTGTCCCTAGGGAGCAGGTGCCCAGGTGCGGGCACAGGGGGTCTCTAAGGGCCAGCCCCGCTTACCGGCCTGCCTGGCTCTCTGCAGCACGGAGTTGACCTCATTGCCGAACGTGGTGTTGCATTGCGAGTAGCGGGCGGCTGCACTCAGCCCGATGGTCTGGTAGTTGCCCTTCACCCCGCACAGGTAGGCCGTGGCAGTGCCCGCGCTGTCTGGCACCTGCCGGTCCACGTTGTAGGTCTGCAGAGGCCAGGGCACGGGTTCAGGCAGGGGGAGGCAACACCCACCCCTCCCCCTGCCCCGCGGCCCAGGAGATGGGGGCTCGGGACCCCTAGCCTGGAGGGGCAAGAGCTGCCGGCCCAGCCTAGCCCGTGCAAGGAGCATCCTTGCCAGGGTCTCCTCTGCTCCAGCCTCGCAGATTACTGCCCCACCGGTGCTCCACGCTGCCCTGGGAGACGGCTGAGCCCTCCCTGCACCGGCCGGCAGGAGAAGGGGACTCTGCCCCGCAGGGTGGAGCTAGCCGCACGCCCTTCCCCGGCTCGGGGCGTCTCTCAGGGGCCAGCCAGCTGCTCCTGCACCAGGGGCTGTACACTGCTCCCTGCTGAGGCACCTTGGAGAGTGCCACGTAGGGGAAGGTGTCCATGACGAGCGGCGTCTCGGGGCCCAGCTTGCCCTGGAGCTGCCCCTTCAGGATCCGCGTCGCCGTGATGGTGGGGACCCCCATCCCTGCAGGGGACACAGCACCCACACATCGGACCATCTCCTCCCAGCACTGGGAACATCACCTCCCAGCACCCCTCGGCTCCTACCCAGGGCCAAAACCCCCCACCCCACACCCTGGCCACTTCAGGTTGCTGCCCTGAACCCCGTGACATGGGTTGGGGGCTCTTGGGGCAGCGGGACTGGCCGGAGGGTGCCCGTGGGGAGATGGCCCAGCTCTGAGCAATGGGACTCTGCAGGCAGAGCCAGACCTGCACCCCCTCTGCAGGGCCTGGGGGGGACTCACCATCGCCTAGGAAGAGGATGAGGTTCTTGGCCTGGTACTGCTTGGGCTGGAGGGTGAGGGCGGCCTGGATGGCTTTGGATGCCTGCTGGTTCCAGAACGAGGGATACTTCTCCTCCTCTTCAGGGGCACATGGGGGACGGGGGATTAGCGCCGGCCACAGACCGCCCCCGTGGGAATGGAGCAGCCAGGGGTGGAAGGACCCTCGGGGTGGCCACTCCTGCCTCGTTAACTCTGCGTCACGCACAGCTAAGGAGCACTTGGGCGTCGGCGAAGCCACGTCTCCAGGATGTGCCAGGCTGAGGCAGCCACTGGGAAAGCCCCATCCCTACCTCTGCCTGTGGGTGCTTGCAAAGCAGCGCCCCGGGACCTGAGGGCATGGGTGCCCTGCCGATCCCATTCCCGCAACCCTGCCGCACGTGCTGACACGTCGCCTGCTCTCCAGACCAACCCGAAGCCACTTGTGAGCCCCAGTGCTTGGCCCACGCCTGTGCCAGTGTCCCAAGGAGAAAGGCCCACGAGCTGTGCCAGGCTGGGGGAAGGAGGCTGGGGTTACCTGGGATGGTGATACAGCAGCAGCTGGCCCAGACCCCAG